TGTGTGTGTGTGTGTGTGTGTGTGTGTGTGTGTGTGTGTGTGTGTGTAAAACAGGAATAGATACATAGCAAAGAAGCAATGTTTGGCAATAGTTCTGCCCTAACCTGTATGAGGAAGAAGTTGAACATCAATGGTGTGCTCCTAGACCTCCTCCTGCCATCACTGCAATTGCAGTACTTCATTTCATCTGAATCTCTTCCTTGCCTACATCTGTCCACCGCTGAGAACACGGGTGGAATCATGGGAAATTGCTATCACAATGTAGCTTCCTTGTAGCAGTACTTTAGATGGCTGTAAATATTCTTGGTGTTGGAGGAATTATTCCCTTTATGGTTAAACTACTTGAACCTCTGTCATGAAATCTTGTTCCTGAACACTTCTGTCATAAAAGTTCTACTGTCACCATTGCAAACACTCCCAAAAGATAATCGCTTTCAGACACATTGAATAGCCCTTGGTGGCTGCTCCAAAGATACAAATGAATGGCTGGCTGATAGGACCGACTTTGCCTTCCAGAAGTCTCCACCTGCTTCACCTTGCTAAGCTGCCAGTAGAGCCTCAGAATAACCATCACTAGGGTCTTTGGTTCTTCCCTAATTTCAGAAAACAGTTCATAAATATGGCTCCATAAATACCTAGTATATTGATAAATGTGTACTAGGAATAAAATGGTCATTAGAATTTATGTAGTACTGTCCCACAGCAAAACCTGTTGGAATGTAATCCTTGTTTTGAGACAGTAAAAGTGAGACTAGGTGGGACCTTTAAGAGGTGATTGGGTTCGGGGGCTCTGCCTGCCTGGATGATGGAGCCAATGATTTATGGAGCATCTTGAGACTAGGTCTGTCTGTTATAAAACAGTGCATGATTCCTCTGACCATGTGATGACCTGAGAATTCTTCCAAGAGTCTCTGTCAGCAAGAAGGTTTTCAATAGATGTGGCTGGCCTCTTAACCTTTGACTCCCAGCCTATAAAAGTGATTCTTTGTTCTTTATGAATTACCTAATGTCTTATTTAGGATTTCTATTGCTGTGAAGAGACACCATGACCACAGCAACTCTTATAAAGGACAACATTTAATTGGGGCTGACTAGCCATTTTAGAGGTGCAGTCCATTATCACCATGGTGGGAAGCATGGCAGCATGCAGGCAGAGTAGGTGCTGGAGAAGGAGCTGAGGGTTCTACCTACAGGTCAGCAGGCAGCAGGAAGTGCACTGACTCGAGCTTCTGAAACCTCAATGCCTACCCACTATTGATGCACCACCTCCAACAATGCCACATCTACTCCAACAAGACCACGCTTCCTAATAGTGCCACCCCCTATGGGGCTATGGGGGCCATTTTCATTCAAATAAGCACACCTAGTCTGTGGGTACTAATATAGTCTGTTGTAGCAAGAGGAGACAGACACAATGTCCAGAATGGACAATTTGACTCCAAATTAGTCTGGATGGCAATCCTTCAGCAGCTAGAAACATTTTCTGTTGATCCAAAATGTGATTTTTATTGCTCTGATAAATGGAACTGTCTGGTTCACTTTACCACTTGCTAGACTCCCTGCCTGTGGCCTTGTGACTTTAAGGCTACTTCTCAATGCTCGGACTCTGAGTTTCACTTAGGAGCCTTATTTAGCTGAGTTGGAAATTTGTTGGTTCCTTGACTATGTTCTGTCACCCTGCTGTCATCTCTAGCTTGTCCACCTATCACATGAGCATGGGAGTTGGAACAGAGTCATTCTGGGGCAGCTCAGCCTCTGTACAATAAAACACAACCACCCAGACAATCCACAAACTACCGAGTGTAGGGAGCCGCGGCGGGTGCTGGCAAAGTCCGCCATCGCTAGGTGGC